CACTTTTAACAATTTGGGGTTAAGAATGGCACGAATGCTATTTAAAATAGCTGCGAAAAAATGTACATTTGGAAAAGAATTCTTAATGAGCAAAAAACGATCTCCTGAAAGTAATTTTAGAATTTGTGCTAAGTGGATTGATTGGTTTATATAATCCGATTTTTATTTAGGCAATATTCAGTAATAAATAAAATAGATCAATTATAATGTACAGGGGGACATAGAACTACTACGTATTTTTGGAATCAGAATTAGTTTATTGGATACAATTTACCTCTATACAAAAAAGTGCCTCGTCTGTCCGTTAGAGGGCATCAAACGAATAATAGCGTAAGATAACACCCGTACATAATGTATCATTTTATAGATACATTAAAACTATAATGTTTAATGTTAGGGCTTATATTTCTAAATTTCACATTTATAGGTATGGAACGTATTCCATAGATACAGGGTGTTCCAAAAACATGTGCCATCTCTCGTGGGGATATTCCTTTCCTATATATAAGATTTAATTGTTTCTGACTCTTTAGAGATCGTTTCTAAAATTAATGACATATTTGTCCATGATCCTCTAAAACAAAAAATCCAGACGCTTATTCAAGAGTGCAGCGAAAAGGGAAACAAACTCACGTTTGTATGGGTCCCAAGCCACACTAATATACTTGGCAACACAATGGCAGATGAAGCTGCTAGAGGGGATACCATTGATTTCCCTTATATTACTAAACATGATTTTAAAAAATGTCTATACTGTTAGAAATAAATGGTGCGGGCCGCTGCCGGTCACGGAGGTATCAACTAATTTCAGGTGGACAATAAGGTTGATTGTTGGAGATTCATTCTTGTGAATTGGGCAGTCAAGATGACAGAAGGCATTCTCCGTGCTCGGATGGACAAGCCGTTCAGGGGCGGGAAAGTGAAATAGCAAAAGCGGTTCCACCGTTTCCACGGAAATCTCAAATAAAATAGTTCCAGCCCTAGCCACTAGGTGGTAGTGCAATTCATTTTTAGGTTAAGAAGTTGCTACTAGTTATTGCCAGATGGCATTAAATCAGAATTTGTTTGTAGTTTCCATAGTTTCCAACGGCCATTGTCATATTATTGTCAAATTTTCAAAAAATATTGTCGTTGTCATAGCGCCAATCATAATATATCAAATAAATGATTATCAAAATGTTTTTTAAACTATAATTTGTTATATGTGTTTTAATTAGACAATTCCTTTTGTTTGTGGCCCTAAAAATATAATGTAAGTCTTTTATTTTTGCCATCATTTAAGTACCTACTTATATTTACTCCATTTACAAAACTTTGCGCGTATTACGTTGGTCTTGTTTTATTATAATAAACGATGTTTAAATATTTCACTTATAAATAAAAACTTTAAATAATAAATTATATTTCACATGTTTGGCTTTAATTTGATTTAATAATTGTATAAATTATACTGTTAAATCTTATTTTTTACACATCACAACGATAATTGTTATTAGTATTGTTCAATTTGTGTAAAAAATAAGATGTAATAATCAAATTTAATTATTTTAGAGTGAAATTCAATAAATACGCTCATTTAAAAAGCCCGCGCTTCGATCCATTTAAAACAAGCCCTACTCAATAGATAGCGCCACTTCTGTAGGACCATTTTTCAGTATGGCGTATGAGTCCATTCTTTTTCTAGCTAGGTATATTCTTTGAAGCCGTTCGTTTGATGAAGATAAGTGTTATAGTTTTGTGTGTTCCGTATTTTGAATAAAATATTACGTTTAAAATATCCCGGTTGTTATCAATACCTATGTGGCGGATTCATCTTTCCAAAAAAATCCTTTATGGGTATTTCGCCACTGCACTGCAAGAAAATCTACAAAATAAAATAATTATTTTTTGTAAACACTTCTGCGTTAAACCTAAACGGACGCTGCTTGTCAGAAGTTACGTTTATAGTAATACAAATTTGCCTAACAAAGAAAAAAAATATACGATAGAAAGAAATAGATTCAATATACGTGGTGAAATTCGAGAAAAAATTAAAAATATTTTGAACTTTATGAAAGACATTAATATATACAACCAACTGTGATACTCTAATCTAACTGTGATACTGTGATGTAAATAACTATCTATTTTCTTGTTGTTTGTTTTTTGTATCTCTACTTTTTTTGTGTTTAGTTTTTTGATCCTTTGTCACTCAACTTGAAATGTTTAGGTCAATGTGGATTTTTAAATTTTGAATTGTCTTTGTGAGAGTGAACCCTTTGAGAATATTGAGATAGATCCGTGTAATTGCATTATTAATTAACATACGAGTTATATATGGCTTGATCCTGGTGATCGATGCCAGAGAAAAAAAAAAATCTCATATTATTATAGGTCCGGGTTAAAATGTTAATCTTTTTTTTCGATTTGTTATAATTTTGTTCGTGATTCAAATGAAATTTTGAGGACAAAAGTTACTATTAGTGCTGCATATATAATGCTAAAAAAGTGTCGACATATTCACCAAGGACGTGGATATATGGGTTGTCACTGGAATATTTTTCTAAAAAAAAATGTGTGCCATTGACTTCTTTTAAAATTGGGCAGACCGTTAAATGCTGATTCAACGTTGTCTCTTCATAAACGCAATTTAATTAAATTGTCTTAATCCAATTCTAATAGCAACCCTTAAAAAATAATGTCATTAACTTTCCAGAATGCTAAATAAGAAGTCATTGATTCCTCATCAAAAAATATGAAAAAAAGTTCCTATAAACATGTGTGCGGAAATGCATAGTTTTAAAGTTACAGGATATTAAAACTTAAAAAAAATAGATCTTTTGTAATTATCTTAAATACCATTATTTTTTAGGGATATTTGTTGTAGGTAGTAGGTAGCACTGTAGATCAATATTATAAATTTTAATAATAAAATTTAGTAATAAATAAGATTAGATAAATAATTTTTTAATTTTATTTTTATTTAAATTTTATTAATTATTGTGATTAATAAAATTGCTTTTATCTCATCTAGAAGATCGAAATGAACAGACAATATACAATATATCAAGATACAACTTTTAATTGGCATTAAATACCTAGCCTATACAATTTTGCTAATAAGAGCAAAAAAATCAGTGGCGCACATGTTTTCATTTAGAAAAATATTCCAGTGATCACCCATACGCAATCTGCGCCACAGTTTTTTAGCATTAAAATATGTAGCACTCATAGTAACTTTTACTCTCCAAATTTCATTCGAATCGCTATAAGCACACGAAAGAAAATTATAATAAATCGAAAAAAAAAAGACTTAAACCTCCTGTAGCTACGATACAAAGCAAAATCGGACCAAGGGTTGATGTGAAAAATAAATTATATTTTTACGTCAGGAATCTCCCCACGAGAGATGGCACATGTTTTTTGAAACACTCTGTATACTTCTATTAAATAAAACGTAAAAAAATGTAAAGAGGCATGTAAATTCAAAATATATGT